GCCTCTTCTGGAACCTTCTCCATCCCAGAGATACGCTAAATGACCTCATTTCCATTTATCTTAATCTGTGTGCTCCTTGAACTGCCTATTTGTAAGTCTACCTAAGTTTCTTAAGTAAAAAACAAAAACAAAAACAAAACAACTTTCCTTAAACCTTACTCTTTTCAGTCTTCCCTTTAAAAAAAAAAAAAAAGTGCTCTTCATCTGATTTTTTTGCTCTCTATTTTCTCCTTAACTCTGTCCTACTTAGTCTTATATGTAAACTTTTTTGAAAATCACCTTCTAAACAAAACTGCCAACTCCTTCTTGATCATAGCCTACTTGACTACCTCCTTTCCGTTGAAACCCATTGTTGTGTTGTTTTTTAATTCTTCTAATTCTTGTCTTCTCGTTTAACTGCTCAGGTTTTTGCCTTCTTGTCCCTCTTCTTCAACATTTTCCTTATATGTGGGCTTCTACTTCCTTAGGCTACCTAGAGAACAGTGCAGCTAAAAGTTCGTATTTACTGATTTTCAAGCCGCTTTATTAAAAGTGACAAATTTTAAATAATAACTTTTATGACACTAATAAGGTTTACCTTTTAATATTTAGGCAGGTGCTGTAAAGGATTATATTAAGATGATGCTTCAGAATGATTCACTTAAATTTCTGGTTTTTGCTCACCATTTAAGCATGCTCCAAGCTTGCACAGAAGCAGTCATCGAAAATAAGGTATGTTGCTATTTTTTAATTAAATACTTTTTAGAATGCATATTTTTACTATACTAAACTTCAGTTGTAGTCTCATAATTGAGGAGTTTTTTGTCTTCTTTAGATGATGGTGTATAAATTATTACACATTTTTCTTGAAAATTATATTAGTATTATATGTGATATACTATTAAATTTTCTCTTTTCTTAACTGATCTCATAATTTTCCACTGACCAAATTATCTGGATTGATTAAAAATATGCTGCCATGATAGGCTATAATGTGAATTTCATTTTTGTTCCTGGATATACCATTTTAGAGTGGCGTAGGTGGTTAAACGTTAGACTTTCTATTTACCTGCATGGTGGCCTTTGAATGTGGGTGACATAGAGAGGAAAGAAAGAATGAATTTGGCCAATGTTAGTACCCAACTGCAGTCATACCATTTAAACTTCCAGGTAGTGTATGGAAAATGATTACTAAAATTTAGTGTAGATATATTTGAAACATATGGCCTAAGTAATTTATCAGGTTAGCTCCATCAAGCCATGTGGCTTTACTGCATCTTCTTAGGTCTACCTTGATTTCCAGTAGTCCACCAGTGAGTGGCAACATCTTCCTTTGTTTCTATCAAAGATAAAAATTTAGCATACATTGTTTAAACATTAGTTAATATGTTCATTAATATTACCAAAGAAATACTTCTAGTATTTCCTCCATAGGAAGAGTTATAATAAAGTGCTGTACATTAAAAGGTACTTTCTCACTGATTATATAGTTTCTGAAAAACACCCTCTAAGAGTTAATTAACCTTAATATTTTTTAAATGATTGGGCAAGAAATTAGATTCCTAATATTTTTCTTATTCTGATTCCATTATACCTTAAAACTACTGGGATCGATTCGAAGTATGGTAGTCTTTTTTTCTTACATCCATTTTACTGATATGTTTAGAATCCCATTTAGCTTTACTAAGAGTTAAAAATGTAGATATAGGCCAGGTGCGGTGGCTCACACCTGTAATCCCAGCACTTTGGGAGGCCGAGGGGAATGGATCACCTGAGGTCGGGAGTTCCAGACCAGCCTGACCAACATGGAGAAACCCCGTCTCTACTAAAAATACAAAAATTAGCCAGTCAGGTGGCACGTGCCTGTAATCGCAGCTACTCGGGAGACTGAGGCAGGAGAATCGCTTGAACCTAGGAGGAGGCAGAGGTTGCAGTGAGCTGAAATCCCGCCACTGCACTCCAGCCTTGGCAATAAGAGCGAAACTTCTTCTCAAAAAGAAAAAAAAGATATTTATGGGGTTAGAGGTGAATTTTTCCCCAACTCTCCCTACCCTGACAATGTATTTTCTTTAGAAAGACCCTCAGAGGATTTTATAATCTTCCTTAATGGCTATTAAATGGTTCATTGGTCAACGTATACTTGCTCTTTGAGGACAGAACATTAATACGGGACATTCTCTTTAATAATTAACTTGGATATTCCCTTATAAAAGTGAATATTCATATGTTCCAACTATTTAAGGCTGTATTTTCTATAGCAGTACATATATGAATAAGGTTTTTTGAAATTTAGGACTATTTTTAGAAGTTGGATAATGACTTCTTTTTGGCTATTCTAACACATAGTGATAACCCCCTTTTCTCTATCAAAGATAAAAATTTAGCATACATTGTTTAAACATTAGTTAATATTTTCCTTATATGTGGGCTTCTACTTCCTTAGGCTACCTAGAGAACAGTGCAGCTAAAAGTTCATATTTACTGATTTTCAAGCCGCTTTATTAAAAGTGACAAATTTTAAATAATAACTTTTATGACACTAATAAGGTTTACCTTTTAATATTTAGGCAGGTGCTGTAAAGGATTATATTAAGATGATGCTTCAGAATGATTCACTTAAATTTCTGGTTTTTGCTCACCATTTAAGCATGCTCCAAGCTTGCACAGAAGCAGTCATCGAAAATAAGGTATGTTGCTATTTTTTAATTAAATACTTTTTAGAATGCATATTTTTACTATACTAAACTTCAGTTGTAGTCTCATAATTGAGGAGTTTTTTGTCTTCTTTAGATGATGGTGTATAAATTATTACACATTTTTCTTGAAAATTATATTAGTATTATATGTGATATACTATTAAATTTTCTCTTTTCTTAACTGATCTCATAATTTTCCACTGACCAAATTATCTGGATTGATTAAAAATATGCTGCCATGATAGGCTATAATGTGAATTTCATTTTTGTTCCTGGATATACCATTTTAGAGTGGCGTAGGCGGTTAAACGTTAGACTTTCTATTTACCTGCATGGTGGCCTTTGAATGTGGGTGACATAGAGAGGAAAGAAAGAATGAATTTGGCCAATGTTAGTACCCAACTGCAGTCATACCATTTAAACTTCCAGGCAGTGTATGGAAAATGATTACTAAAATTTAGTGTAGATATATTTGAAACATATGGCCTAAGTAATTTATCAGGTTAGCTCCATCAAGCCATGTGGCTTTACTGCATCTTCTTAGGTCTGCCTTGATTTCCAGTAGTCCACCAGTGAGTGGCAACATCTTCCTTTGTTTCTATCAAAGATAAAAATTTAGCATACATTGTTTAAACATTAGTTAATATGTTCATTAATATTACCAAAGAAATACTTCCTCCATAGGAAGAGTTAAAATAAAGTGCTGTACATTAAAAGGTACTTTCTCACTGATTATATAGTTTCTGAAAAACACCCTCTAAGAGTTAATTAACCTTAATATTTTTTAAATGATTGGGCAAGAAATTAGATTCCTAATATTTTTCTTATTCTGATTCCATTATACCTTAAAACTACTGGGATCGATTCGAAGTATGGTAGTCTTTTTTTCTTACATCCATTTTACTGATATGTTTAGAATCCCATTTAGCTTTACTAAGAGTTAAAAATGTAGATATAGGCCAGGTGCGGTGGCTCACACCTGTAATCCCAGCACTTTGGGAGGCCGAGGGGAATGGATCACCTGAGGTCGGGAGTTCCAGACCAGCCTGACCAACATGGAGAAACCCCGTCTCTACTAAAAATACAGAATTAGCCGGGCGTGGTGGCACATGCCTGTAATCGCAGCTACTCGGGAGACTGAGGCAGGAGAATCGCTTGAACCTAGGAGGAGGCAGAGGTTGCAGTGAGCTGAAATCCCGCCACTGCACTCCAGCCTTGGCAATAAGAGCGAAACTTCTTCTCAAAAAGAAAAAAAAGATATTTATGGGGTTAGAGGTGAATTTTTCCCCAACTCTCCCTACCCTGACAATGTATTTTCTTTAGAAAGACCCTCAGAGGATTTTATAATCTTCCTTAATGGCTATTAAATGGTTCATTGGTCAACGTATACTTGCTCTTTGAGGACAGAACATTAATACGGGACATTCTCTTTAATAATTAACTTGGATATTCCCTTATAAAAGTGAATATTCATATGTTCCAACTATTTAAGGCTGTATTTTCTATAGCAGTACATATATGAATAAGGTTTTTTGAAATTTAGGACTATTTTTAGAAGTTGGATAATGACTTCTTTTTGGCTATTCTAACACATAGTGATAACCCCCTTTTCTCAACTCAAATCATTCTTAAAGACAGCAATGTTCAGTTTAACACTTAATGTTTCCCTACATTTTTTTTTTTTTTTTTTTGAGACGGAGTCTCGCTCTGTCGCCCAGGCTAGAGTGCAGTGGCGCGATCTCGGCTCACTGCAAGCTCCGCCTCCCGGGTTTACGCCATTCTCCTGCCTCAGCCTCCTGAGTAGCTGGAACTACAGGCGCCCGCCACCGCGCCGGGCTAATTTTTTTTTTTTTTCTTGTATTTTTAGTAGAGACGGAGTTTCACCGTGGTCTCGATCTCCTGACCTTGTGATCCGCCCACCTCGGCCTCCCAAAATGCTGGGATTACAGGTGTGAGCCACTGCGCCCGGCCTGTTTCCCTGCTTTTTAAAAATGTATGTGGTTGCATCAGTGCCCCACCTCACTGGAGATGACCGTATCACATATTTCTTTTAAGTTTAATAATGTGTAAAACCAGAATTCAAACGATAGATTAAAAGCTCTGTTTTCTGGCTGGGCACAACGAGGCGGGCGGATCACGAGGTCAGAAGATGGAGACCATCCTGGCTAACACTGTGAAACCCCGTCTCTACTAAAAATACAAAAAATTAGACACGCATGGTGGCAGGCGCCTGTAATCCCAGCTGCTCGGGAGGCTGAGGCAGGAGAATGGTGTGAACCCGGGAGGTGGAGCTTGCAGTGAGCAGAGATTGCGCCACTATACTCCAGCCTGGGCGACAGAGCAAGACTCCGTCTCAAAAAAATAAAAAAATAAATAAAGCTCTATTTTCCCAGTTAATATTTGAGATATTTCAGAAATAAATGTACTACTCTTCATGAATCCATAATTTGTGGGCAGAATCATCTTTCTGTTTTCTCACGTCTGGCTTTATTTTCACTTTAGAATTAGTGATCTTAAAACTTTAGAGTTAGTCTCATCCATGGTTTAAAGTTGCATGTCAATTTACGTAGAATTTTACTGAAGACAGCATTAGCTTAATTCATAAAAGATATGTGGAGCTTCAGCTATATACAAGGCATTGCCCTTGGCATTGATGGGATAAAGATGAATTAGACATAGACTCTACCCTCAAGTAGCTTAAAAGATTAAAAAAATAAGAAATTGTTATAAGAAGCTATTTAAAAACTTGGTAAGATTCTTCTTGTATAACATTTACCAATCTGTCATCTTAACCAAGTTCCATTTTGTTATGTGACCGTAAAAATAAGCTGTAAAATATATAAAATGAGATGGGTACATAGGGGTTTGTCCTAATTTTGCCGTTTCCCTTGTTGATGCTAGACTCGTTACATTAGGATAGATGGAGGTGTTTCATCTTCGGAAAGAATACATCTGGTTAATCAGTTTCAAAAGGATCCTGACACTCGTGTGGCTATCCTAAGCATTCAAGCTGCTGGCCAGGTAAGAAATTTTCAATGAAATGTCATTGAAATAAGAAAAAAGGCCATTCACTATAACTTTGGTTCATAAACTTATAATTTTCTATCTTGATGCCTTGTATAATAAATATTAATTCTTCTTCAGAGAGTTCCAGAAAGTATAATAGAAAGAGGCCTTGACGTCTTTGACACAGATCTCCTAAATTTTCAAGGAAAGTATGTCTTTGAAAGAATATACTTTCAAAGAAGAGTAAGAAGTGTATAGTTAATTTGATTGTAATCTTTTTGCGTGACCTTTTTTCCTTCCTTTGAATTTGTATAGGCTTTTCTCATACCTGTCTCATATCCAACCCCTCACTTACTTGATTAGGTTTGAAGGCAAGTAAACAGAAATTCAGATTAAGACTGACTTAAATACACAAAGTTTAATTCTCTTATGTAGACAGTCCAGGCCTAGCATGATGTTTGCACAAAGTCCTTAGGACCTACACCCCTTCTCGCTTTCTGCTTTAGCACTCTTAGCAAGTATCTCTTATCTAAAAGGGCTGCTAGAGCTTCATCATATCTGCAGTTCAAGCAGCTGCCTGAAGAAAAGCACACTGCATCTCACTGTCTTGTAGTTAGTCCCACAACCACACCTAATTTCAAGGGAAGCTGGGAAGAGTATCCTTTTTTCCATGTAGCTCCGCTAAAAATTGGGTGTTATGTTACAAAGGAATAAGAGAAGGATAGATATTAGGGAAAGTAATGGCAGTCTCTGCCACAGTAGATAAGAGGGGATCTTCTGGACTGTTTTTCTGCTAACATTCTAAAATATTTTGTTGTAAATGTCTAAGCTAGGATATTTAACATAGGGAAAAGTAATTGAGCATACTGCTGTTCAACCAAGCTGATACATGCCAAAGATCTGCTTTTACCCAGCTAATTAAAATATATAAAATTGTATACAGAGAGAAACTTTTATGAGGATGAAGCAGTTCCACAATTCACTGGGAGTTCTAACCAAAAGGACGGTTGTCTCAATGCTTCCCTCACGTTCAGTTAACCTTCCAATAATCGGAGTTATTTATCTGTTAGACTATTCCAACCATAGAGAATATCATCAAAAAGGGCTTAGAATTAGAAATGAAGTACTTAGAGCTAGGGAGGTGCTAAGTAGGAGAAAGCCAGACGGGAGAGTCTAGGACCTTTTGAAATTAATAATGTATGGGGCACTTACATTTTATTCAAAGCTGTTTCTGAAGACCTTATATAAATCAAGACTCATATACTTTAGGACTGATATCTCCATAGGAATAAAGGAAAGTAGAAAGGTCTTTGTTCTTGGTACTGTGAATCTTACATTATAGTTTAGCAGCTGCTTAGAGTGATATTGATCTTGCCAGCATATTTTCCCTTTATGCTTGTATAGTCAAATGATGCTTTTTATAAAATTAAAGATGTCTCTCTTTAAAAACTACTTTTTATTGTTTCTGCATTATTTCTAATATTCTGTGGCATTTTCAGTCCTAAATAGCAGCATAGTTTAATATGTGTCTCTGTATTTTTATTACCTCTAACTTCTTTTTCAGAGACTGATTTTCAGTAAGTTTTTCAGCTTGAGAACTAGTACCACCATTTAATTAATGCTAGCATGATTTTGTTATGTGACATGAAAATATTTTAAGTGAAAATAACATATCAAAATAATAGCAGTCACAAAAGTCACTCACAGGAGTTTGGTGCGTGTGAACAACAAACAGCATTGATTAAATAATACTCTGAAAAAATGGCAGACATTTCTGTTTACCACCTAATGTCATTTTACTGCTATATGGCTATAGCATAAGCATGGTTCACATTTCATTCAGCCTACCAACATTAAAGTCATGCATTTTTTGACACATTGTTTAGTTTGACACATTTTTTAGTTTGATGGTTTTGCATTATTTCATATATTGATTATAAAGCAAGACTTAGTTAATGTTTTTATGTCACACTATTTGAAATTCATGAAAATGCAGTTGTACAGAAAATGCAATTGCATTGTATATATTGAGACATAGGCAGTAGATTTCAGCTCTTTGGAATATAACATGAGAAATATCACAGGAAGAAAATGGTATAACCAGAGACATTTTTTTCTTGCTTTATAACATGACAGTGTGAATTAAATGAAGAGGATGTAAATGCTGTCTGCCTAGTTGCTATAGATACCATATGTTGGAAATTGTATTCTCATTTATAAAGTATTTTATTAGATTTTCCAGTGGTAATGTGAATCCATTCATCATCAGAGAATAAAGTGATTTAGTTTATATACTTCCATCAAGCTGACTTTTGAAATTTTGAAATACCTTTCAAATGTGTTTTTTGTAGTTCACCTAGCTATGCTATGTTGCATTAAACATTCTTCATTTGCCTTTCATGAATTAAATCTTAATTTGGCCTAAAATAAACAACTAATTTGTTTTCAGGTCCTTCAGTGTTCTCCATTTAACATGTTCAGAAAGACTTTATTATATATGGCTGTATGTTACATTCTCAATTTATTTGCATCTCAATTTATTTGCTTTATTTCACTTAGGGATTAACATTTACTGCGGCAAGTCATGTTGTATTTGCTGAGTTGTATTGGGACCCAGGACATATAAAACAAGCAGAAGACCGAGCTCACAGAATTGGCCAGTGCAGTTCTGTGAATATTCACTACCTTATTGCAAATGGAACTCTAGACACCCTTATGTGGGGAATGTTGAATCGCAAGGTAAAGCTTGAATTTAAATCAAGTTAGCAGCTTACTTATTATTAACCATAGCCAACTGAGTTAAGAGGCTGAGTTTTAGTGTTTTCAGGCAAAGGATACTTAAGTACATCAAGATGATGATAATAATAGAGACCAAGTTAAGAAAAGGCTTCAATAGTAGTACCTTGCCTGCTCTCCTCTGTAATAAGAGAGGCATGAATTTCCACATATTCCTGTTATCTTCTAAGCCCTTCTACTACATTAGAGGGACAATGATGGGGTTGGCTAGCAAGGAAACATAATGTCGCGCCATTGCACTCCAGCCTGGGCAAGACTGTGTCTCAAAAAAAAAAAAAAAAGGATTAGATGATTTCTGGGTTAGTTTGTTTGGGCAGCCATAACAAAGTACCATAGATTGGGTAGTTTATAAATAATAGAAATTTATTTCTCACACTTCTGGAGGCTAGAAGTCTGAGATTAGGATGCCAGTGTGGTTGAGTTCTGGTGAGGGCCCTCTTCCAAGTTGCTGACTACTGCTTTCCCATTGTGGAAAGAGGTCAAGAAAGCTCTTTGGGGTCTCTTTTATAGGGGACTAAGCCCATTCATGAGGGCTCCACCTTCATGACCTAATCACCTCCCAAAAGCCCCACATCTGAACACCACCAACATTGGGAGTTAGGATTTTAACATCTGAATTTGGGGGGGATACAAGCATTCAGCCCATAGCACTGTTTTTCAATTAAGTGTTTTTAAAGCACTGAATGTAGATATTCAAAATGGCCAATCATATGTTGGTTAAGTTTCAAAGCATATAAATATTAGAATAAAAGTTTTTATGAAGAAAGTGAATAGTATAATTTCTCAAGTTAGACTTTTTCTCATTAAGCATGGAACCATTGACTGGGTAATGGGTTATAATTTTGGATAATTATTGCTATGGTTTGAATGTTCATTCCCTCTAAAACTTACTTTGAAACTTAATCCCCACTGTGGCAGTATTGAGAGGTAGGCCATTAAGAGGTGATTGGCCTTCTTTCCCACCCTCTTCTAAAAAAAAGAAAAAAAAGGTGATTGGGTCATGAGGGCTCTGCCCTCATGAATGGATTAATCCATTCATGGATTGAGGGATTAATGGGTTATCATAAGAGTGGGCCCGGTGGCTTTATTGGAAGAGGAAGAGAGACCTAAGCTAGCACCACTCAGCCCCCTCCCCATAAGATGGCCTGTGCTGTCTCAGAACTCTGCAGGTACCCACCAGCAAGAAGCCTTCACCAGATGTGGCCCCTCAACCTTAACTTCTCAGCTTCCATAAGAAATAAGTTCATTTTCTTTATATATTACACAATTTCAGATATTCTGTTATAAGCAAAAGAAAACATACTAGATGTCAATGAAGAGTCAAACTGTAAAATATTTTAAGAGATTTACTCTGAACCAAATATGAGTGACAGTGGCTCATGACACAGCCCCAGGAGATTCTGAGAACTTGTGCCATAGGTGGTTGGGCTACAGCTTGGTTTTATGCAAGGTGGGGTGGAGGGAGGCATTGGTTCCAGATCACAGGTGGATTCAAAGATTTTCTGGTTGGCAGTTGATTCAAAGAGTTTTATCTGAAGACTTGGAATACCTGGGTTAAGATAAGGAGTTGTGGAGACCAAGGTTCTTCTTAGGCAGATGAAGCATGCAGGTAGCAGGCTTCAGACAGAATAGATTGTAAATATTTCTTATTAGACTTTTTTTTTTTTTTGAGAGATGGAGTCTTACTCTATTGCCTAGGCTGGAGTGCAGTAGCGTGATCTCAGCTCACTGCAACCTCTGCTTCCCGGGTTCAAACAATTCTCCTGCCTCAGCCTCCTGACCAGCTGGGACTACAGGTGCCCACCACCATGCCCAGCTGAGTTTTGTATTTTTAGTAGAGATGGGGTTTCACCATATTGACCAGGCTGGTCTCAAACTCCTGACCTTGTGATCCGCCCACCTCAGCCTCCCAAAGTGCTGGGATTACAGGCATGAGCCACCACTCCTGGCCTCTTATTAGACTTTAAAAGGTGCCAGAATCCTTAGTTATTTCTCTCTGGGATCAGGATAAAGGCCTGGAAAGGAACGGGGATTCTCTACAGAATGTAAATTTTCCCCACAAGAGAGAGCTCTGCAGAGCCATTTCATACAAAAGAAATATATTAGGGAGTAAAAGGTTTCCATTTGTTTTAGGGCCTGCTATCTGTCATGTTGGTGTCTTATTGCTACAAAGAATCTGTTTTGTCAGTCTTAAGATCTCTATTTTAATGTTAATGCTGGTCAGCTTTTTTGAGATGGAGTCTCACTCTGTCACACAGGAGTGCGGTAGCAGGATCTCAGCTTACTGCAACCTCCGCCTCCCGAGTTCAAGTGATTCTCCTGCCTTACCCTCCCAAGGAGCTGGCATCACAGGTGTCTGCCACCATGCCCGGCTAATTTTTCTATTTTTAGTAGAGATGGGATTTCACCATGTTGGGCAGGCTGGTCTCAAATTCCTGACCTCAGGTGGTCAGCCCGCCTCGGCCTCCCAAAGTATTGGGATTACAGGCGTGAGCCACTGCGCCTGGCCTGTTTCAGGTTTACTTTAGAATGCTCTTTGCCAAGAGGAGGAATCCATTTAGTTGGTTGGGAGGCTTATAATTTTATTTTTGGTTTACAAAGATAATTATATTAATAAAGCCCATGCTATGTTGGAACAGTGAGATTTTCTCAGTGGGTAGCTTATGATTTAAATGCAAAATCAAGTTACTTAGTGAATTTCAGCTGTGAGGTGAACTGCTGAAAAATTCATTTACTTTTTCCTTTTGTAGGCTCAAGTTACAGGGAGCACACTGAATGGTAGGAAGGAAAAAATTCAGGCTGAGGAAGGTGATAAGGAAAAATGGGATTTCCTGCAGTTTGCTGAAGCTTGGACTCCAAATGACAGTTCTGAAGAGTTAAGGAAGGAAGCTTTGTTCACTCACGTAAGATTATATGCCTTACTCTTTTTTATTTTTTTTTAGTATCCTGAAACCATAACTTTGTATGTATGGTTTTAAATAGCAACTCTTAATTATTTATGGTATTGAAAGGAGACTTCACATAAAGCTGGAACCCCCTTAGAACCAAAAATTACCATTGTTTTCCAACAGTTTTCGTACTTACTGTTCAGCTCCTCAGATAAACTGAATAAAATTCACAGTTCAGAAGAAAATATAGGAGGCTATCTTTATGACACTGAGAATAGGGAAGCATATATTAAATGTGCCTTAAAACGTGCAAATAATAAAGAAAAAGATTCAGATATTTGAGTATATCGAAATCAAAGGTTTTGTTATACAAAATGTCCTGTATATAAGTCACACACTCAGTAAAGATATTTGCATTACAGTGTCCAAAGTATTTGAAGAATTTATACAACTCAATTAGTAAAGCATAAACAAGTCAACAGAAAAATAGGCAAAGAGCTGGGCATGGTGGCTGACACCTGTAATCCCAGCATTTTGGGTGGCTGAGGCAGGCAGATCACCTGAGGTCAGGAGTTTGAGACTAGCCTGGTCAACATGGTGAAACCCTGTCTCTACTAAAAATACAAAAATTAGCTGGGTGTGTTGGTGCACACCTGTAATCCCAGCTACTTGAGAGGCTGAGGCACAGAAATCGCTTGAACCACCTGAACCAGGAAGGCAGAGGTTCCCATGAGCTGAGATTGTATTGCTACACTCCAGGTTGGGCAACAGAGTGAGACTGTGTCTCTGTCTCAAAAATAAAAAAAAGAAAGAAGAAAAAAAGAAAAATAGGCAAAGGATATGAGCATCAGAGGATACCTGAATAGCCAATAAACATGAAAAGAAGCTCTACCTCACTAAAATAAGGCAAATTGTAAAGATAATTTTCCTCTTTACTATTTATTAGTAAGTAATTAGCGGTCTAACAATTTCAAAGTATGTGACCCCCCCCATTCCCAAAACTTGTTACTGAGTGGTTTTAGCATTCATTAATGATATTTGCATGAATCACCTTTGAAATGGTCTTTCTTTTTTTTTCTTTTTTTTGAGACACAGTCTCGCACTGTCGCCCTGGCTGGAGTACAATGGCGTGATCTCAGCTCGCTGCAACCTCTGTCTCCCGGGTTCAGGCGATTCTCCTGCCTCAGTCTCCCAAGTAACTGAGATACAGATGCCTGCCACCATGCCTGGCTAATTTTTTGTATTTTTAGTAGAGACAGGGTTTCACTATGTTGGCCATGTTGGTCTCGAACTGCTGACCTTGTGATCCGCCCACCTCGGCCTTCCAAAGTGCTGGGATTACAGGCTTGAGCCACCGCGCCCGGCTTGAAATGCTTTTTCTAATTCCATCATTGCTTCTATATTTATTAGTTGTCATTTTTCTATAAAGAAGATATTTACCTCCCTGCTTTGAAAAAATACGACTATGGACCAGGCGTGGTGGCTCACAGACCTGTAATCCAGCCCTTTGGGAAGCTGAGGTGGGTGGATCAGTTGAGGTCAGGAGTTCGAGATCAGCCTGGCCAACATGGTGAAACTGCATTCCTACTAAAAAAAATACAAAAAAAAAAAAAAAATTAGCCAGGCATCATGTCACATGCCTGTACTCCCAGCCACTCGGGAGACTGAGGCAGGAGAATCACTTAAATCCAGGAAGTGGAGGTTTTGGTGAGCCGAGATCACGCACCACACTCCAGCCTGGGTGATGGAGTGAGACTCTGTCTAAAAAAAAAAGAAAAAATTACTATGAACTTAGGGGTTTCAATTATTGTTATTATTTAATGTGTTATAATCCTTTACCTTTTTTTCTTTTTAAGCTTAGATCTGGCTAATGAAAGCTCCTTTAAACTGGCTCCTTTTTTTAAAAAACACATCCTTATAATTCTCTGAGTGCTTCCTTGCTTTCTGGCACACAATATATAACAGGTTCACCTTAAGTTTTTTGCCCCAGACCTGGAATTGGCCCATTTCTTTAAGGAGCACTTATTCCCTTTACTGTGGAGTGATATTTAGAAATTAGGATTTTTTTGTTGTTCCTCTGGGCTGTCATTGCCTCTAGGCTCTTTTCAATGTACAGAATATTTTCTCACGCATATATAAGGATACATGCACAAAGATCTTTATTGTGTCATTTTTCAGAATGCAAAAAATGGAAACAACCAAAATGCCCATCAGTAGAAGAATGGATATGTAGATTGTCATATCTTGTAAAATGCTATTTAGAAGTTAAAGTGAATGAGTTATATTTATATGTATCAACATGATGAGATCTTGAAAACACAAAGTTGCTTTAAAAACACATAGCACACACACAGTATAGTCTATGTTTATGAGTGTACATATGTAGTAAAACATAAACACACATTGGAAGAATATATATCAAATTTATAAAATTTGTTACCTCTGGGAGAGGAGAATGGATGTGGGAACAATAAAAGTATGATAGCAACTTCAGCAAAATTGTTTTATTTCTTTTATTTTATAAAAAGATCAGAAGTACAATATTAATATTTGTAAATTTTCAATGGTGGATACATAGATTTTTGTTGTATTCATTATACATTTCTATATGTAAAAATCCCCCAGTCTCACCTCTAACAAATGCTATTTAGAGATTATTTATAAATTTAGTAAGAAATAATATATTAGAGAAATTTGTAATTTATAATGTCTACTGTTTCCTAGCCTTTTTTTTTTTTTTTTAATTCGTATTTTTTTAAAAGACAGGCTCTCTGCCTATCACCCAGGCTGGAGTCCAGTGGCATGATTATAGCTCACTGCAGCTTCAAAGTCCTGGACTCAAGAGATTCTCCCATCTCAGCCTCCCAAGTAGCTAGGACCACAGGCATGTGTTACTATGACTGGCTAATTTTTTATGTTTCGTAGAGACAGAGTCTCACTACATGGCTCAGGTTGGTCTCAAACTTCTGGCCTCAAGCAATCCTCCCACCTCTGCATCCCAAAACACAGAGATTAGAAGCATGAACTGCCACCACTCTTGGCCTTCTAGTCTTTTTGGGGTAATATGGTGTCAGAGTTACAGAGAGTTTAATTTTAATTTTTCAAAGAACTGATCAGAAATTATAGGAATAAAATTAATATTTACATTTTTTCTGATAATACAAAATTAAAAATTTAATGTGAAGTTTAATTTCATAAAAATACATTATGTGGAATCATATTAATTTTTAATTATCTTATTTGGAGGTCTAGTACAATTTTTTTTCTAAAATATTAGAATATAATTCTGTGAAATATTGCTAAAAAATAGATCATTTATAATCGCGTTTAAAAAACGAGTTTTCTTTTTTCTTTTTTTTTCTTTTTGGAGATGGAGTCTTACTCAGTCGCCAGGCTGGAGTGCAGTGGCACAATCTCGGCTCACTGCAAACTCCGCCTGCTGGGTTCAAGCAATTCTCTTGCCTCAGCCTCCCAAGTAGCTGAGACAACAAGCACATGCCGCCATGCCTGGCTAATTTTTTGTATTTTAGTAAAGACGGGATTTCACCCTGTTGCCCAGGCTGGTCTCCAACTCCTGAGCTCAGGCAATCTGCCCACCCCGGCCTCCCAAAGTGCTAGGATTACAGGCATGAGCCACCGCGCCCAACCAAGTTTTCTTTCAACAATGTTTATTATATTATATTCTGGTCTACAATAAAGTGAATAGAAATCCTAGCTATTTTTAAAATATATAAATAAACCTATGATTTGTGGCTGTTCTTTCTCTAAAACTTTCTGTCAAACTATGTTTACCAGTTCATTTCTAAGATAGGTATTAAGAATTTGAAATAAATCTTCCTACATATGTATATGTTTATTGTTTTTAAAAGTTTATCTGAAGAAAATATGTATTTGTGTACACAATTTTAAAAAATCACCCATACCAAATTTTACTTTCTTGAGTTAGGTATATCTTTCATGGTTCAGTGTTGTCTTATATGTTTTCCAATACTTGTCTTTATACAAATGCAGTTTGATGTGAATTGGAATCCTAGAATGTAGGGATCTTTTGTTTGTTTTGGTTAGTTTTGCTTTGTTGGTATTTATTTGTTATATGGCCAGCATGTGAAGTGTGCTTTGATTGACTTTAGGTGGGTGCGCCCTCTCACCACTCTGTCTATACCCTCCCAGCTTCATGCAGTTTAAGAAATGTTCAATTGGCCGGGTGCGGTGGCTCAAGCCTGTAATCCCAGGACTTTGGGAGGCCGAGATGGGTGGATAACGAGGTCAGGAGATCGAGACCATCCTGGCTAACACAGTGAAACCCCGTCTCTGCTAAAAAATACGAAAAACTAGCCCAGCGAGGTGACGGTCGCCTGTAGTCCCAGCTACTCCGGAGGCTGAGGCAGGAGAATGGCGTAATCCCGGGAGGCGGAGCTTGCAGTGAGCCGAGATCGCCCCACTGCACCCAAGTCAATAATATATTAAATATATTCAATATATACTTATTTTATACTTATTATTATTGAGTAATAGATTCAATATATTCAATATATACTTGACTATATAATATTCAATAATATATTCAAGTATATATAGTACACATATAGTATATATATACACTTGAATATATATTATTCAAGCATTTGAATAATACCTTAAATGAAACTAATCCACACAAATGTATGAGTGACAATTCTTTACCCATGCTAGATGTATTTACATTTTTTGAGAAATTACAGTATTTATTAACCCAAATGAAACTCAAATTGAAGTCCAACTCAAGTAAAAAGAAAAAATTCCATCACCACAAGGAAAGATACTTTTGCACAGCCCAGTTGGCTGTCCCATAAGTAAGCAGTCCTGCCTTGGAATCCATCACCAGGGTCACTGCCTAAGATGTGGTCAGTCCAATTTCCACTGCTTCTTCCCTTCTTCTACTTCTGAATGTGTCTGACTTCTAAGTACTATTTTGACTTTGAGGTGTTTTGATTTCCCTACAGTGGCTTCCATTGAGTGATAGTGTAGGTCATCTC